CGTCGAGGCCGAGTCCGAGCACGCCGTCGAAAGCGAACAGTCCAAACGGCTCCGCCGACATCTCGTTCGCGAGCACCACCCGCATGGTGCTGCAGTCCTCCGCCCGCGGCCCCAGGCACACCCTGTCCTCCGCGAACTCGCCGACGACCTTGCCCGTCCCGAAGGTGATCGCCAGCTGTTCGCGCTGGCTCTTGTCCGTGCCTGCGGGGACCAGCTTGCCATCGTGCTCGATGTCCACGCTCGTCCCCGACAAGGAGCGGTTGTACAGCCTGTGCTTGGCGCAGGTCTCGCTCTCGCAGCCGGTGCAGGGAAGCACGAGGTGCGCGGAGCCAGTGTCGAACACCACGGTGAATTCCTGAGGCTCTGGCATGCCAACTAAGATGTTGCCGAAGTACGACGTCTTGTACGCTATGACAGCGCCGTTCTTTTCTATGGGCACGTACTGCTTCCTCAGCGGCACGGTGAGAAGCCCAGAGGGGTCGTCGGCCACACCGTGCACGGCGCCTGTCGTAGAGGGCACCACGGCGCGGCTGGCGACCCAAGAAGCGACAATGACGATGCACTGGAGCGCCGCCATCGTGGACGAAGAAGAAGAATTCGTTACTGACAGATGGACTACGTAGAACTTAATGGACCGTGATCTTGGACAGAGCCAGCGCTGCCTCGAGCCCGAACGGCCGTGGAAGCGCGCCGACATCCTCGCCCCCAGGCCGAGCAGGTCCAGCGCGTGCTCTCGACTGCTCTGCCGTGGGGCTCCGCGGGACTCCGTTCCCTCTCGCGGGGTCCCTTCGCCCCCCCCCCCTCCCCAGTGGAAAGCGATTGCGCTGCGACGACGGGCCACCCAGACGCCCGCAGAAGTGAAGAAGCAGGGGGTGAGCCGAGCGGCCGACTCTGGAGGCCCTCGGTATGACGGCGCGGCGCTGGCGCAACGCCTTAGTGGCACGCTCGGTTGTCTCAAACATATCCAGTCGCTGCACGTTTGGGGGCACGTGTGGTTTCCGTGTGGCTCTCGCCGCGCATTGGTGCGGCGCACATTCATCGTAAACCTCCAAGCAGCTACACGGTTGGAGGGCGGATCGTTTTCAGTATCTGGCTCTCGCCTGAACTCTTCTTCTTGTCAGCCCTGAAGCTTGAACTGCCCAGCAGCTACAGAAATCGAACACAGGGAACGTGGTCCATTTTCGAAGTTTTAATCTCGCCTGAGTCGTCTATGCGTTTTCGCTATCAACAAATCTTCTACGAGCACCATGGATGGCAGGCGGTTCCCTGTCAAACTGACTGAGCTTGCGACGACCCAGTTGAGTGTGAGCAGTGGGCCGTTGATGCGCGTTTCAGAACATGGAGGGTCTCACCATGCAGGCCCATGGGGCCCTCACCTGTTCAGCGAGCGCTCTCTGTAGCGTTCAGAAGCACATGCGTTGTCTGATGGTGACGAGGCTTGGGACCGAGGGGTTCCTGCCGCACATGTGGCGCGTGCTGCTTTTGTTTTTCTGGTCCTGCTCCAAAGGCATGCCGGGATCCCTGGAATACTCCGGAGGCAGGAGGTCCTTGGAATCCAAGCCTCCGGAGGCAAATGCCCCCAAAACATTGTCCTTCCTCCTTCCTAGAACCTCGAAGGCCCCACTTCTGGAGATCGAGCCTCCAGTCTGGAAGGAAGAGCTTTCATGAATACTGAGAAACAGCTCCAGACTGAAGGTAACTGATCCTCTGCGTTAACTAGAAGCGACCTCCTCCTTCTGCTCCTCCTCCTCCTCCTCCTCCTCCTCCTCCTTCTGCTCCTCCTCCTCCTCCTCCTCCTCCTCCTCGCGCCTCGACTAAGAGCGGCCTCAAAATCCGGCGCACGCACTGCGGTCCCGGAGGCCTCCCAGATAGGGTCCGCGCAGATGGGGTCGGAGGAACGCACCGCATCCCCGACGCATCGGACATACATCGGCGACGTCGTCGTGGATAAAATCGGGCTGCCCATCGAGCCGCATCGCCGATGCATCGGCGCTGCGGCGCGATGTCCTGACCCCGTCTACTCTGACCCCATCTGGAAGGCCCAGAGGTCCTTCGACGCCGCAGACCGCGGCGGGGTCCCCGCCCGGATCGAGGCCGGCCACGCAGCACGGCGCGCCTGCCCGGCGGCGCGGGGAGGGCCGGGCCCGAAGAGTCCCAGCCGGCGGCGCTCTCCGGACGACGAACACGACGAGCACAACAATGACGACGACGACGAGGACGAGGACGAGAACGAGGACGAGGAAGACGAGGACAACGACCACAAGAACGACGAGGGGCCTTAGCCCGAAGGGCCTCGGCCGTTTGGCGCCTTTCGGGCCTGACTATGCACGTACGCTCAGCGCCCGGTAGTGGTGGACTGCTGTTCGCCAACAGCTCCACCACCACCACCACCACCACCACCACCACCTCCTCCTCCTCCTCATCCTCCTCCTCCTCCTCTTCCTCCTCCTCCTCCTCTTCGTCCTCCTCCTCCTCCTCCGTCTCCTCCTCCTCCTCCTCC